CTGCACCAAAAAACTGCTTCAAATAAGCATACACAGCCGGGTAGAAATGATCAACCTCCAATACAAGGAAATGAATCAAATAAAGCTTTTCCAGTGGAAAATAAACTTCAAGTGCTTCAATGCCAAGAGTAATTAAAATACACCGCAGACTCCTGTTCCGCCCCCATGGGAAGTGGAGGGCGGTTAAGACTCAGAGAGGCAAAGTGCACGAGCATTATTTATTAAGCGTCCGTTCCCCTTTAGTTTTTCTATTTCCCCAATTTTTAATCAGCAAGAAGCAAAGTACTTATAAAGTTCTTATCAGGTTTAAGACGCTGCCAGGAAGCATTGCAGAAGTTGCAAAGATATAGTCAGCAACCTACTAAGGATCAATAAAGAAGTTATGCAAAACACAGTGCTAGGTGAGCAGTATTATTTTTGGCTGGGGGGAGATAGCAAGCCATATAGAGAAGGAGACATTTGGATAGGCTTTAAAAAATAAGGAGAGGTGTGGTTCTGACAGACAGAGGCTGGGAAGGACTTTGCAGGAGAGTCTATGCCCACATGTGTGCAGATGGGGAACCTGAGTGTGTGTTTAAGGAAACTTCTAGTAATTCAATTTATCCTGCTATGCATATGGGAGTAATTAGAGTTTTTCCCCCTATTTTTCCTCTTTACTATTGTTTGATGCAAAGAGGAAAAAAGTCCCCAGAAAACATGTTATTGAATTCTGAGCCTGGGGCTGAATGAATAAAATTCTTTGATAATGAAGCATATGGCCAAGTTGCTTTTACCTTTGGCTGACTCAAGCTAAAATATAGCCTGGCTGGGGATTTATAGTCATAATAATGAGAAACTCTCAACTGAAAGCTTAATAGGACTTAATTCGGACCTCAACTCTTATTTCTACAGCTCTCTGATGGTGGTCAGCCTTAACACCTTTCTGTGTGGGAACTTTTGCTGGTTCGATTCTGAGACGCAGCTCATCTTGTGTAACGGCCCCACCACAGAAATGAACAAGTTCATTAAGGTCTCCAGGCCCTGGTTCTACAGCATACTCTCTCATGCGAATTGGGAGCTTCCTCAGATGACCATGCAAGTAGGCAAGTGTTAGTTTTCAAGTTGGCATCATAGAAAAAGAAAGAAAAATCTCACTAGATTATATTTGCACTTTTTATTCTTATTTAGGATTTAATTAGAAGTTATCCTGTTGCATGGCATCCTTTGTAGAAGGTAAAAGGGATCTAAGATCTAGCGACTGGTCTGCCAGAAGCAAGCATGTGGATGGTAGAAAGGCTGAGCTCTATATTGCCATATTGGATGCCTGGAAGGTCCTTTAGCCAAGCCCAGAGAGTCAGCACTGGCAGCCATCTGATGAAGATGCTAATGTCAGCCACTTTGTGTACATGCTTTTGGCTTGACAGTCCAACATTGGGGGCATCACTGTCGTAGACCTTTTGTTCAAGCCAGACACTTGGCAGTTAGCACTTTCTCACTGAGAGAGAATGGAAGAAAGGTGGAGACAGAAAAAAGAGAAGAGCATGGAATTTGGGAACATTGGACATTTCAGGGAAGCCAAGTAAGGGTGAGGAAAAGGCAAGAAATAATATGTAGTTGTTTTATAGCTCTGAATAACACTTAAAGAGAGATTGGTCATTCCCAATGCTAACCTTGCAGTTCATTGCTGAGTTGGCTGCATTTTAAAAATAAATGGAATGATTCTTTCTGAGAAGCACTACAGTGTACATGGCCAAGTTACTTAAACAAACAAACACACAAAAAACCTACAGTGCTTCCTTTCTGTGCATACTAACGAACATGTTGAAAGTCCTAGGGCATTTTGTTCTGAAACATCAAGATCATAAGTATGTATTCTTTGACATGAAAGCAGATGCAACATGAAAAATAATATTTCATAAGAGATTGGCAATGAAAAACAAGAAGTGAAGTCAAATTAATTAAAAAAAATTTATTCCCTGATAGAAAGAAAGACAATTTAGGATAAAGCCTAATTTTTCAAAAACTTAGTGTTTTAATAAGGGGATCTATGAAGGATTCTGTATCAAGAACATGTCTTCCCTGTTTCAATTATAAGTTTCTAAAATTTTATTTTATGTCCAAGTAGTATCTTTACATCCACGTTTTTGCCACGTTGTATTTCCAAATCTCTAAATATAGATTAAATATAAAGCAGATAGGTAATGTTATTTTGTCATGAGCATGTCATTCGTAGCTTGTTTCATGCTAATGTATTGCCACTGCTATGAAACCTGTACCCTTTTAATGAGTTTTATCCACTTGATCCCAGTGGTAGAATGACCACTGGGGTGGGCAGTTCTATTCTAGCAGATGCAGGAAAGTGCAGCTGGTGGTTCTAGGCTTGTGCTCTGTGCATGTCACTGACCCCTTCACTGGTCAGTGAGTGAAGTCGTGAGGAATTAGAGAGAGGGCGAGTGCCAAAAACACCAGTGCATCATTCAGGATTGAGGCTTCCAAGGCTTTTTTCTTTCTAATTCCTTTAAAGATGAGGAAAATGAATGGCATTTGTTTTCTGCTTTTACCTACTTTTCCTCTCTCCTAATTTGGTCCTCAAGAGCGATCTTCATTTCAGGGATAGGATAAAGAGATGAATATTGGGAACCAAAGAGAGTGGAAAAGAAGGGAAGGGAAAGGGAAAGAAGCTGACAGTGCTGAGCACCTACTGTGCGCAGGCCTTAAGCTATTTGCATTTCCTGCTTTTAATCAGTCATCACAGCAACCCTCTGAGGTAGCCAATTTTATAGAAAAGGAAACTAAACGCACAGTGGTGACACATGGCCCAGGTCATCCAGCAAGCAAGTGCAGAGCCACTGTAGATCTCTACGCCAATGACATTTTAACTCTTTCACCACCACACATGACGGACCGGGAGGTAAAAACTGTGGCACCAAAACAGTGTTGGGAAAATCAGATAGGGGAGAGAATTTTGGAAGAACTATACTGAAAATCACCTTAATCCTATTTAATTGTATGTGATACTGGAATGTCTAAATAGAAAGATGGGTATGGGATGGCTAAAATTCCCATGCAATGGGATGGTGATCGAGATCTGGGAGACTTAGGAGGAAGCTGTGCAGAGCTCAGAGCCCTCAATTGATAAGTGAGGGTCCCGGGCCCTCTTAGGAGTAACCCAGAGCTGAGGACTAGGGACTCTCCCCCCACCCCCAGGCCTAAAGTGAAGACTGCCCAGGCACAGCGTCACCCCTCGTTGGTGACTCCTCTTTGGCAGGGCAGGTTGTCTGTCTTCTGCTTTCTGCTCATCCTCAAGGCTAACTCTGCACACATCTCGCCTTTTCCACGGCCTTCATTCTCGATACGAACACTCCAAATACAGTTAAAACTCTGAAATTTGACCTCTAAACAAAACTTCTGGTATTTAACATTTTCCAGTCTCTTGATAGATGATCCTAGATTAGTGCTCAATGGAATCTTGTATACACGCGGCAGAGAGCTAAGGAGGGCTTTTACAGAAGCCAGGAGCGGCTCACTGTGCTCTCATCTGTCTGCAGCTCCTTCTCCTCCTTCACACACATTCCAGCCTCCTCGTCAGGCTGCTCGGAGGGAGCCAAGGTAGTTCTGCCAAGTAGGGAAATGTTTGAGATTACAAGTGGCAGACAGAAAAATGCAGATCAGATCTGGAAGGCTGCTTTCGAAATTACGTGAACCCAAACCTTGTGGGGGTGATGCCAAAGCCTTCCTGTGGGCTCTGAAGCTCAGTTTTTGAGATTTTTCCACCAGTTGATTAGTGATGTGTGTGCCCAACTCTGTGCCAATA